GTATCATAAGCAAAATAATACGTTTTTGATTGCTTAATAGAAAGATTTAGATCATTAATAAAGATAATAAAGAGAAGAGGACCTAATATGGATCCCTGAGGTATACCAATTGAAACATTTTTAATATCTGAGCTGGTTCCATTTATAGTTACAAGTTGTTGACAATCAGAAAGGTATGATTTAAACCACTGCAAGGATATGTCACGTACACCATAATAGTTAAGCTTTGAGAGAAGAATTTCATGGTCTACGGTGCATACATACATAATATATTTGTGTACATACATATATATTTGTGTACATACAATATATTTGTATGACAGGTTGGCATGCATTCATGCCTACACAAATCCAATTTGTAAACCTTATATTAAATGATTTATTAAATGATTATTTTTTACTTTTACAAACTTCTTTTACATAATGTCTAGTTTATTTTTAAACTACTTTAGACTACTTGTGTTATTATCGAAATAGATTATTATTTTATTTTAATAGTGAGCATTTATTATTGTGAGATTATTATTGATATTGTGAGATTATTATTTATAGTGACAGTTTATTATTGTATTGAAATTTTCATGCAGTTGAAAATTAGCTTAAATATAAAATATCTTTGCAATGGAAAGAGTACTGTTAGACCAAAATTACTTGAGTAAAAGTATAGTTTAGTTGTTTTTAGAACATTTAAGTTTATGTGCGAAACAAAATATTTTTGTATTACGGACATACATGGAAACATAAAAAACTTGAATGTTCTCAAAACATCTTTGTGCGAAAGAATAAAAAGAATATTCGCGAACACTAAAAACCGGCCAAATTAATGAACAAACTAATTCTATTGGTTCAAAAAATAGAATATTCTTTTTTTGCTTTTTAAAATGTTCTCAAAGCGACTAAAAAATCTGGCCAGCTTTTCGCAACTAAATAATATTTACATGGTCAGCAATCGAGAGCGATCGCTCCCGCTTCCCGACCAAGCCTGTATATATATATATATATATATATATATATATATATATATATATATATATATATATATATATATATATATATATATATATATATATATATATATATATATATATATATATACATATATATATATATATATATATATATATATATATATATATATATATATATATATATATATATATATATATAATATATATATATATATATATATATATATATATATATATATATATATATATATATATACATATATATATATATATATATATATATATATATATATATATATATATATATATATATATATATATATATATATATCATGGCCTACTTAAATTACACGGCCTGATTTGTTGCATTTTCCGTAAAAAATTAAGAGGCCAGTTTTTTTACGGCTCAAGTATAAAAACTTAATTTTTGTTATGGTTAAGAGTCTTGTTTGCATCATAATTGTTTTATTTTTATTTTATTAAAATGGTTTAATAATAGTTAGATTTTCTTTTAGTACTTATATTATTTTGTGCTAGATTTTCTGTTAACTGATTGCCTGCTTCAGTTTATTCCAACAACACAGAATACTGAAATAGGCTTCCAGATAACTATATCAACATATACCAACATGCTACTAAAAATAATCTCTCATGTTGCTTAGATTGCCTAAAACTCTCCATTGAGCAAAAAAAAGGTTTGTAGTTTCGTATTTTTTATAATTGAAATAAGAAGAAATACATTTTTGCTAGAAATGTTTATTTTGTCTTTTTTGGAATTCTTTTACTTGATCTTTTTTAAATGAATATGTATTTTTTTTTTTGCAAATTACTATAAAAAATATAATAATATTTTTTATATTAATTTGCCATACAATACGAGATCTATATTTGATTCCCATTTTTGGTGGTTTTTATTTGAAAAATTTAAACTGCTAGATCAAATCTTTAAAATTTGTTTCGCAAATTTTTAATTAAAAAAGAATGACTGCAATGTTTTATTAGAATAAGAGAAATAACATAAAATACTAAAAAGATGACATATAAAATTAGACAGAGGTTGAATTGAATATATAGGTTCTTCTCTTTATAAAGTAATGTTTATTGATCATAAGTTTAACATCAAAATCTTTTTGTTAATTTTTACCATTATTACTTGCTTTAGTATATATATTTGTGCTATCTTCAGAAAGCTGACAGTTGTATTTATGTAGACAACTTAGCAATATCTTGCATAATATTTTTTAAGGATTATCAAAATTCTGGTAAATATTTTCTGGGAAATTCTGCCAAAATTTTTTTACTTATGCACATTTCTAAAAGACTCACAAAAAGTCTACTATTGGTCATTTAACTATACTTAATAAAACCTAGCTCCAAAAGATCTTTTTGTAAATTAACTATAAACAAATGTAAAGCCTTCTTCAAGGAAATCATGCATAAGAAATACAATTGCGTGTAGTGTTGTAATTAGAGCACAAGAAGTTTGTTTGGTTAATGTCAGGTATTTATCAAATTTTATTTTGATCAAATTTCAGTACAATTTGCAATTTCTCTATAAAGTGTGGGTTTGTTATCACCTTTCAAAGCAGCATTGCTGAGTTTGATTAGATGAATTAAGTTTCTGCTTTGAATTAAGTATGATAAATAACTTATAAAACAATGATAATTGTGCTGCGTTATTTCTTTCAGAAAAATAACTGTAAATTAGCAGTTGGAGCTGCAGTTGTTTTGTCAAATATTGTCGATGTTGACAACTTGTTTGTTGTTACCAAATATGTAATTTGGTAAACAATTTTTCTTGCTTGTTTAATAAATGATCTTTTAATAAACTTTAAGAAATATATTCCCTGCAATGTAATCAGCAGTAACTTCAACAAAAAGAAAAAACAAAAACCGAGTTTATCAAATAACAAATATGTTTTAAACACTCCTTTTCTAAACTAAATGATAAATTATTAATTTTCCGTCTCCAGTATATGCTTTATGAAACTATAAAAATGCATTAACATTTGTAGAATGGTTATCGGTAACAAATCTTATCTTAATCTCAGATTGGTACATTGAGGTAATACACTCATCAATTTCTTTTTTCAAACATAAACCTGTTATTTAAACTTTAGGTTATGATTTCAAAACATAAGAATAAATTTTTAAAAAGCCCTACAATCATAAGCACACAAACAAATTTTTTATAAAGATTGTTTTCTCAATCTCAATGTTTGAGACATGCAGCATAAATAAAGTATTTACAATGCAAAACCTTGTTTTGCAGTGTAAATAATTTAAAGAAAAGTTTATGTTTTCTACTTAATAATTGCAATTATAATAAATACAAAATTACAAACCTTTAAAATTATTTCCAATGGAGATTTGTGGGTAATTTTAGCAATATGTAAGATTATTTTTAGTAGCATGCTAATATGTGTTGATATAGCTATCTGAAAGCCTATTTCAGTATTCTTAGTTATTGGAATAAACTGAAGCAGGCAATCAGTTAACAGAAAATCTAGCACAAAATAATGTAAGTAATCAAAGAAAATCTAACTAATATTAAACCATTTTAATAAAATAAAAATAAAACAATTATAGTGCAAACAAGACTCTTAACCATAACAAAATTTAAGTTTTCATATTTAAGCCAAAAAAAAACTGGCCTCTTAATTTTTTACGGAAAATGCAACAAATCAGGCCGTGTAATTTAAGTAGGCCATGATATATATATATATATATATATATATATATATATATATATATATATATATATATATATATATATATATATATATATATATATATATATATATATATGTATATATATGTTTACATATATGCATTTAAGTTTGATTCCCACGTCCTGGTAGTACTGGGCTTAACTTGTATCTCCGCGCAACGGCCTTGTTTTTCAAGGATCGTGTTTCGGAGTTATAGAGTTAAGATAGGTTTATTATAAACCGTTTATAACCATAAGTAGTCTCCTCCTCTGTAGTGGCCTTCTCGGCTTTGGGGAGGTAAATTACAAAAAAAAAAAAAAAAAAAACTTGTTCAACTGTGAGACGAGTTCTTGCTGAAGTGAGCGAAGGAATACTTCATTGCACTGGTTAGTCGTATGCATATGATTTATACTGAAAGTTATTTTTATAATGCTCGTTTTGTTTGTTTTTTCTTATATATTTTAAAATTTTTATTTTATATTAAATATTTTTACAGCAGTTGAAAAAGAGCTGCTTATTTCTGTAGAGAACCTGAACAAAAAATTAGATACAAATAATGCCTTAATAAGTCAACTTATTGGAGTACTTAATCAAGACAGGGAAGCAATTTTGGTTGATAAACCTTTTGAAATTCTAGTAAATGATGAGGCAAGCTTACTCAAATTAAATGAAGACATCGAATCAGATTAGAAAGTTATGAATGGACTGGTAAGTGTCAGTCTGTTTGGGAATATATATATATATATATATATATATATATATATATATATATATATATATATATATATATATATATATATAAATATATATAATAATTTTATTAGTAGTTAGAACATTTTTGCTTTGCAATAAATTTCAAATATATTTATTTATTTTTCTCATCTTTAATTTCGAAACATACTTATTTGTTTGAATTTTGTGGAATAATACATTTTCACGGAAACGGGTAATAATAACGTGCTAGTGTATGTAGTAAAAGTATCTAGTAAAAAGTAACGCTTTAGAGCTGACACGCGATCACGAAAGAATGTTGGAAAATGATCACGGATCAGTACTTTTACAGATGCTGGTAAGTGATCGCGGGCCAGTGCTGGTAAGCAATCGCAAGTCAGAGCTGGCAAATAATCCCGGGCCAGAACTGGCGAACGATTGCGGGCCAATGCTGGCCCATGACAGCGGGCCAGTGCTAGCCCAATGGCCATTTTAATGCAGGCCCGTAATCAACAGCCACCATCGCGCCGGAGTCGCAAGCGGAACTGGGCCAGCATTGGGCCGCTAGCGGAAGGCTGTCTAGGAAGTTTCAACAAATTAAAAAGAATCATTAATACAACATATTAAATCCAAAAAAACATCAAGTCCATTTATAAGAGAGATTGCACCACTAATTGCGTCTGTAGAACCAGAAAAACATCGAACAAAGTACCATTTATATTTTGATATTCATTACTATTTTCACCACAGTTAGTATCATTGTCTATTTCACCAATCTAGACAATACATCATACAATTAATATATACATACTAACTAATTTTCTTTATTTAATAATTCATTTATACTTATAATTATTATCTATTATAACTTTCTTTATCACATTAACTTTCTTACACATTAACTCACAACTTTTTGAACGCTCTATTAAATGTTGCCAAATGTTGAGTAACATTTATATAGAAAAAAGTAGCAATCAATATATTATTATTTATAAATAACAATTACAAGATTATTTCTTCTTTTTCGCCCAAACTATCTGCATGATCTACAACATCATTTAGAAACCTGTTTCCTTCACATCCTTGCCAATTATATACATATTATAAACACGAAACTTGTGAAAATACGGCTAAATAAATAAACAAAAAGTTATATTGCCAGTCAAACCTGTCTGTTGATAATGTAGTAGTTTAAACAAAATGAGTAAGTTTGTTCTATATAAATGTATGTTAGTTACATTTATATAGAACAAGGCAGCAATCAATATATTATTACTTATAAATTGTAATTTAAAAAAAACTTTTTTCTTTCTTCGTCCGATCTCTCTGAAAGATGTAAATCATTGTTTCTAATGCCAATCAAAATTACCTGCTTATAATGCAGTAATTTAAATAAAATGATAAAATTAAAATAAAAGACACTATTAAATGCATGCACAAATAAATTCCAAAACTTAATATAATTTACTTTACTATTCAAAACATAACAAATATAAAAAATATGTAATTTATTAAGTATAGTAATGTAAAAACATAATAAATATTAAAGTCTGTGCATAAGTTAATTTATTTTTACTTAAGACGAGCACTTCGCATTAGTTAAATATAAAAAAATAAAAATAATTGTGTTATTGTAATAATAGTGTATTATTTATAAACATTGCTTAACTGTGTAAAATCTCGTGCATTAATTAACTTTCTTTCTAATATTTTTAAAGCATTACCGTATTTTTTTTTCTCCAACTAAGTCGTCCTTGGATTACCCTTACAACTTGAATCCCAAAGATTACGCTTATATCTTTTCTAGTTAATTCAACCTTAATTCACCATTTTATTTAGACAACTGTTGAACTATTTTTAGAAATATTAAATGTATGTAAAAACTGATATTGTTATAAATGATATAAATGATGAACAACATTATTTATATCACCAGTCAAACCTGTCGGCTTATAATGTTTTAATTTAAATAAAATAATAAATTAAAAATTATAGAATTTATACACAAACTATTACATTATCTTAATATTCTAATAATTCTGCTATTTATTAGTACTAGCAGTAAGCAACCCGTAATACGCGTTGTTAGTAAATAAAATTAAAAAAAAAACCGCGTATAGAAAAGCCTAGAAACTACTTTAAAATAAAAAAGCCAAGAAAATGACGTAACTTGACTAATATTAAATTAGCGTATTCATATTATCAGAAAGAAAAAACATAATAACTTCAATGGTCGCGTCAACAAAAAGACAAAAACAGCTGAACAGTAATAAAATTTACCATATAATAAAGTGTTTTAACTTCAGAACAAACTTTATGCAAACTAAAGCCATTAAAAAAAGTTAAAAAAAATATTACGAGTTACCTTTTGTACATTAGCTATCTACTTTTATCCAAAACACTACTTATGTGAGCTTATCTAATATACTAGATAAGTTTAATAATAATAAAGTTTGATAATAATTTAATAATACTAAGATAAGTTTGATAATAATAATCATATTAGTTTTAATGATAACTAGTTATCATAATAATAATAGATAATAATAATCATATTAGTTTTAAGATAACTAGTTTTTTAATACACTGGTTATGTAGTGTACATTAAAACTAAAAGACTTGTTGTAAACCAAATAAACATAAAAAATTAAACTAATTTGCTTGACATACTTGCTATACTGTTGCAAATTATGCAAAGAAACGAAAGCTATTGGAAATAGCTAGAATAAGTATATGCATAAATAGTATATAGTTATATATAAAAAAACAATAAGTATATATACATGTACTTTATAATGCATTTTAATGTGATAATATCCAAAGACGTAAAGAAGTATAAGCCAACACTAAGACCAAGATATTTTGATTCAATACCAAGACTAAGAACAAGACAGTTAAATGAATCTTGAGACGTCTTGGGATCAAGATTGAAGTTTGGAGACAAACATCTCTGAAAATATCATATTTTGACGCATTTTAAAATGCATACATTTATCATCTTTAAAATATTGCAAATATGTTTAATTGTTTATATCTGTATGTTTAATTTGAGTCATAGTAAATGTGATGCATTAAAAAAAAACATATAACTTATAGTCTTGATAATTACAGAAAAACAGATGAATGAAAAGAATATTGTTATCTCAAGAAATGATTGTAACTCTACGAATTACGACGGCATCTTTATAAGCGCATTCGAAAAACCCTTAATGCAACAAGAGCTATGAAAAAAGAACCATGGTTTACCCATGGAAATTCCATGGGATTTCAGTTTTCATTGAAATTCACCCATAGAAATTCCATGAAACCTCCTTTTTCCATGGGAAAACAATGATTTTCTCATAGAAATCCATTAGTTTTCCATGGAATACCCATGGAGTATTTCCTTAAGGGCGATTTTGTGTTCTTTATTAATTACTTACCAGACTGCATTTACAACCATACCAAACTATATGCTAATAATCGCAAAATTATATGAGTTATCGATATCAATGAAGTTTCCTCTGAATATAAAAAATTGTAAACGAAGACCAACAGCGCTGTAAATTGGTTGCCTAAATGGCTAGTAAATTTCAAAGTCGAGAAGTGTAAAGAAATACAAGTTGGTTGTTGCAATTAATAAACTAATTTATAATACCATGGTTGACATTGACGTTAAGAAACGCAACCTAGTTCCAACATGCATTGAGCGTTAGCTTGGAGTACTAGTATCGAACAACTTCAAAATACAAGGAGAAGCCGTAGTTTGGGTTGGCAGTTCTTGGTTTTCTTACAAAGTCATTTTGGTGTCACAGCTATCTAGCTACGGAAATAATTGTATTAGCTGTACATTAAACCGCATCTAGAGTTTTGTATTTGTAAATTTTTCTACTGAAACGTGTCCAACAGCGCGCAATATTGTTAATTAATTATTTTGGAATCTGTTTATGATTCCTAATTTGTGAGTGCACCTCAAAGTTATTATTGATATAGATGCAGTCTTGAAAATACGGATGTTACTTAACAGATTTAGAAATACTGTTAGGCATATATTATCATAATACAATAATAGTATTTGAATTAAAATAACGGTATCTGAAATAAAAAAGTCATTAAATTGTATAACTGTACATGATTTTTATTTAAAATATGTATATTTATAGAGGCGTCTAACTGCTGCTATGCACTGCGAGTCATGAAACTCTCAGCGGCCCTGCGTAAAGATATAAATAAATGCAAAATAACGTTGGGATAAAACTTTTTACTTATATAGATTCTGGCCTTATAAAAAACTCCAATATATTTGAAAACTTTAGTACCAATATAATCACTATGTTGCTTCTATTTGATGTTCTTATCATTGTATACACCTAAAAATTTGGGAAGCAATCTCTTGTTATTTCAGTTTGGTCAATAAAAATGTAGGTCAATAAAAAAGGTAGGGCAGAGGGTAAATAATGTTTTTTAGTTATTGAATAAAAAAGACTCCATTTTGTTTTTTAAATATTTAAGGTAACTTTATTGTTTTTAAACAATCTAGAAATAATTTTTAGTTCTTTAGTCATAGTGGTAAAGAATTTTTTAATATTTTAGTATCATAGTATGATTCGCAAATATATAACTTAAACAATTACAAGCTTTATTCAAATCATTAATATAGGTTAAAAAAAGGAGCAGCCCAAAAATTGATTATTGCGGAACACCACATAAAACATCCAACACTTTTTTTGTTTTGGAATCTTAAAAAAAATAAATTATTTTCTATTTGTTAATTAATTTTTAAACCATTTTAAATTTACGCCATTCACTCCCTAATATTTATGTTTTTGAATCAAAATGCCATGAGTTCCTGTATCAAATGCTTTTGATAAATCTAAAAAATTACTTAATATTAATTGTAAACTTCTGAAAGAGTTAGAGAATTTGCGGATAGTTGCATGCTCAGTAGAACTATTTCTTTTAAAACCAATTCTTTTAAAACTGGTTTTTATGTAAAATAAATTTTGTCCTTAAAATAAGCATATAATCTGTAATAAATTTTTTTTTTAAGGTTTTTGAAAACGCTGATAAAATAGATATAGATTGGTAGTTACATATATTAATTCTATCTCCTTTGTAAATTAAGGTTATCTTGGCTATTTTTAACAAATCAGGAAAAAATCCTTTTTGTATTGACACTTTGCAAAATTTAAAGGAAATATCGTTTAGTAGTTCAAAACGTTTTAAGACTATGTTTCTGTTTATTTTATCAGCTACATGGCCATTGTTTTTTTATTAAATTTAAATTAAATTTGAAACTCCTTAAATAATAGCTTAGAAAATAATTTACTGGAGCAATGTAAATGGTGTTAAAAAGTTATTGAACACAAATTGGGTATTAGGAATTTTATTTGTTGGTTTGAAACTGATGTCATTTAGGAATTTGTTGAACTCATGAGTCATTAAACTCGATTCAAAAACATCTTTGTTATCCACTCTAATCTGATATGTGGCAAATAAACATATAGTAAAATTTCTTATCGTACCTTCATAATTAGTAGATTTGTTTTTATTTTTTATATTTTTTATTTTTATTGGAAAAGTATAGAGATATATTTCTTGGATTATTTTCCACGTTAACATTGTTATGTTGTTGTATTTGATATTTATTTTAATTATATCTTGGTGTTGTATGCAACAATATTTGTTAGACTACGTACATTATCAACTTTATTTTTATGATATTTATACTTGTATTATTATTTTTACCGCCAATATGTGATTGGTTACAAGTAAACACTTTGTAGTTGTAAAATAAACATGAAAAAAAAAAAATGTGTCTATCCACGGTGCTCTGTGATAAGACCGTAAAGACTTTTGAATTATTTACACCCCAACCCCCTTCTCCTCCACACACACACAAAAACAAAACAAACTAAAAAAAAAAGAATTTCATGTTTTAACTACTATTCTTTAAGAAAAGGCTCTACGTATGCAAACTTATATGTTAAAAATAGACTAGCTGTTGCCCGCGCAAAAAATGGCACAAAAACTTTTGCATTTAATCTGTTGGATATTTGGACGAATCTGGTGGTTTTTTATTTACATTTATTCTGACGGTTGTTTTATTTTATTTATTCTGGCGTTTGTTATATCTTGTTTACATTTATTCTGGCGGTTGTTTACATTTAATCTGGCGGTTTTTTGCATTTAATCTGGCGGATTTTTGCATTTAATCTGGCGGTTTTTTGTGTTTAATCTGGCGGATTTTTTCATTTAATCTGGCTATGTTTTGCATTTAATCTTGTGGTTTTTTGCATTTAATCCGGCGGTTTTTTGCATTTGATCTGATGATTT